GATTCTGAAGAATTAGTAGGAGCTAGCTAAATAAAGGTTAGGCCCTTAGGGGATAGAAATGCTGTGAGATTTGGAAAGGTCATCATGGGCTAGATCATTCCATATGTCTAAACTATGTTGTTTAAACTTGATCCTCTGGGAGAAATGAATAGTCATCAACGTACTTTGATTTGAGAGAGAGAAAGACATCAGTTTCGTTCTTCCACTTAGCTGTACATTCATTAGTACAGTGGGGCCTTGACTTACGAGTGTCCCGACTAACGAGTTTTTCAAGATACGAGCTGTCTCTCAGCCGATTTTTTGCTTTGAGTTGTGAGCTAAAATTCGGGTTACGAGCCAGCTTCAGATACCCCACCACTAGTTGGCGCAGCGAATGTCACAGTGAACGCCCCAGCATCAGCCCAGCATCATTTAAATTGAGCTTCATGAGAGCAGTGACTTGGTCTTTCTTGTCTCCACTGTCTCCCAGTGACAAGAACAAGACACTCACTAAATGTTTGTTGAATAAACATGAATGACTTACTGGCACTTTGCCTGATGCGTTGTACATTTTCAGCAAGTATTTGATGAATGAATGACTGCATAGCAATATGGTTTTAAATTATTAAACATTTATGCATTTTACCACTGTAGTTTCCTATATGTGCCCTAACTTAGGATCAAACCCACAACCTTGGTGTAAGAATAGAGCCACAAATTTGTTATTGAAGTATAATTGAAATACAACAAACTGCAGATATTTAAAGTATACAGTTTGATAAGTTTTGACATGTACACACCTGTGAACCATCACCACTATCAAGAGAATGAACAACAGCCCTGACTGGTTTGGCTCAGTGGATAGAGCATCGGCCTGCGGACTGAAGGGTCCTGGGTTTGATTCCGGTCAAGGGCATGTATCTTGATTGCGGGCACATCCCCAGTGGGGGGTGTGCAGGAGGCAGCTGGTTGATGTTTCTCTATCATCGATGTTTCTAACTATCTCTCTCCCTCCCTCTCTGTAAAAAATCAATAAAATAAAAATAAAAAGAGGATGAATAACATATCCATCACTTGAGGGTACCCCTTCATAGTCCCTCTCAGATCTGCTTTCTGTCACTATAAATTAGTTTGAATAGTTTATAATTTTATGCCAATGCCTCACTTTCTTGATTACTGCAGTTTTTAATAATTTTTGAGATCAGTTTGTGTTGGCCCTCCAACTTGTTTTTTGTTTTGTTTTCAAAGTTGTTTTGGCTATTCTCCATTGTTTTTGTTTCCGTATGAAATGTAGGGTCAGTTTGTTAGTGTCTTAAAAAAATACCTACTAGGGCTTTGATTGGTATTGCATTGAATCTCTACATCAATTTGGGGAGAATTGACCTCTTCACAGTATTGAGACTTCTAACCCACAAACATGGTATGTTTCTGTTTATTTAGATCATCTCTAATTTTTCTCAACAATGTTTAGTAGTTTTCAGTGTATAAGTATTTCACATTTTTGTTAGATTTATTAAATTGTCTTATATTTTTTAATGTGGTTGTAAATACTGTTTTTAGCTTGGATTTGCAATTATTCGTTGCTAGTATAAAATGCAGTTGATTTTGTATATTAATCTTTTGTTCTACAACATTACCAAAATTACTTACTCTAGTAGCTTTTTGGTAGATTCCTTTGGATTTTCTGCATAGACGATCATGTCATTTGCAAAGACAGTTTTACTTCCTTTTCAAAACGGATGCCCCCCTTTTTTTTCTTGCCTAATTGCACTGGCTAGAACAGCCGTGGGCAAACTACTGCCCGCGGGCCGGATTCGGCCCGTTTGAAGTGAATAAAACTAAAAACAAAAAAAACGACTGTACCCTTTTATGTAATGATGTTTACTTTGAATTTATATTAGTTCACACAAACACTCCATCCATGCTTTTGTTCCGGCCCTCCGGTCCAGTTTAAGAACCCATTGTGGCCCTCGAGACAAAAAGTTTGCCCACCCCTGGGCTAGAATCTCCAGTACAACATTGACTAAAGTGGTAAGAACAGATAACTTGATTTTTAGAGGAAAAGCATTCAATCTTTTACCAGTTAAGTATAATATTAGTTGTAGTTTTTATGTAGAAAACCCTTATTAGGCTAAGGAAATTTCCCTCTTTTACTTCTTTGCTGAGTTTCTAGCAGCAATAGATGTTGGACTTTGTCAGATGCCTTTTCGTCTACTGAGATGATCATATGGGTTGTTTTGGTTCTTTTTACTTTGTTCAAATGGTGGATTATATTGGTTGACTTCAAATATTTAACCAACCTGTATTCCTGGGATAAATCTGAGTTGGTCATGGCATATTATCCTTTTTATATAGTTTTGGATTGTTTGCTAAAATTTTATTCAGAATTTGTGTTCATGAAAGATATTAGCTTGTAGTGGCCTTTTCTTTATAACCTCTCTGTCCTATTTTAGAATCCAAGTGATGCTAATCTCATGGAATGAGTTGGATGCTTCCCATTTTCTGGAATAAAGTGTAGAATTGTTATTATCCTTTTTTTTCTTGTCCATCTGGGGCTTAGAAGTTTCTTTACATCTTCATTTTTTTTTTAAATTAATTATTTTAAAATTAAACTTACTGGGTCGACAATTGGTTAACAGGTCATACAGGTTTCGAGTGTACATTTCCATGATACATGATCTATATATTGCATTGTGGCCCACCACTCACTCTGGCTAGAGATTTATCAAGTGTCTTGATCTCTAAAAATTAGCTTTTATTTCTGTTTTCCATTTCATTGGTTCCTGCTCTGATTTTTATTCCTTCCTTCTGCTTACTTTGGATTCAATTTGTTTTTAAATAGAGTATCTTTTAGAGCATTTTTGGTTCACAGCAATATGGAGCAGAAGCTGCAGAGATTACCATGTACCTTTTCCCCCTATTTTCTGAAAGTGAAATGTACAAAGATCATTTATTTGAGAACTTTGTCCTTTTCCAATACAGGCATTGAATACTATAGATTTTTCCGTAAGTACTGTTTTTGCTAAGGCCCTGCTGAAGAGGATCTTTTCTTTTCAGTCAGTAACTTAAAGCAGTCATTTTTTTGTCTGCCAAAATAAGAATTATAAAGTTAGTGTCTGCAGGGATAAAGGATAAAGTTTAAACACAACAGCTCCATTTTGTATGCATTTTGCTTGCTTGTACTAAGTAGGGAAGGAAACTGTCAGATATTTTTTCACAAAGTTATCCTATTGATTGCACACTGCAAGTACTATATTTCTTTGCTTTGATTCACTGAAAAGACCTATCCAGCTAATATCAGTAATGGAAAGGAAGTGTTAATAATGAAAAATAATGAAAATTAAACTACTTCTGTCTGTGAATCATTTAAGCAATATCTATCTTTAGAGTCTCACATTTCTGCAGTTGTGAATAAAGACTAAGGTGGTACAACAAATTGCTGTTACTATTTAAATTTGTTTCTAAATATAAAGTATTATTACATTGAATAATTTCTTTGTTTATATTTCCCCTGTTAGGTAGAAACAAGTTTGGATAGTCTTTTAAAACCAGTATAAGTCAACATCAGGGATCCACAGAAAGCAGTTAATCTTTTACGTTTTACCCTGTGTCAGGTACTGTGTTACCTACTTTGCAAGAATTATCTCCTTTAATGATGCACTAAAACCCTGTGAGATATAAATATTTTCATTCCCATTTTACAGATAAGGAAACAGACTTAGAAAATAGGTACCACAACTAAGTGGTAGAGTTGGAGTTAACTGGGAGTAATCCAGTCTCCAGTGATCTTAAGCGTGTAATAGACGGTGTCCATATAGAGTATGTTTGAAAGAAAAGCTCATAATAGCTATAAAGTGAGTTCTGAATATCTCAGTTCAGGATATGGCTTGATGAGTTGACTAAACCAAACTAGATGAATAATACTGTAGTTAAGAAAATAAATTTTCAGACATTTTGCTACTCTATAAAGTCTGAATTTTCCTTAAGATAAAAAGAGGCCCAGCCAGTATGGTCCAGTTGGTGGTGCATTGTCCCATGCACCAGGAGGTCACCAGTTCGATGCCCTGTCAGGGCCTATGCCCAGGTTTTGGGCTCAATTCCCAGTAGGGGATGTGGAGGAAGCAGCTGATCGATGTTTCTCTCCTCCCTTCCTCTCTCTAAAATCAATAAAAACATATTTTTAAAAGGGGAGGAGGGTGAATACTGAATTGGAGGCAGTGTGGTAGTTTTGGGGGTTGAGATCACTATTACTAACTGAGCCACATTAAAAAGTTATTTAACCTCTTTCAGCTTTAAACTTTTCATAAGTTAAGTGGAGATTTTCTCCTTTTAGAAGTACTAAAAATTAGAGATAATGCGTGTAGCACAGTGCCAAACCTGTAGTAGCTGGCAGAGAAGGTAATTATATTTATTATTGTTAGAATCTCTGTTAATCCTCAGTCAATGAAAACTATTTTTGAGGCCTTTAGTTCATCTTCTGATACTACCCACCCCCTGACCATCACCAAGATTGTCATATTCCTTCTGAAAAGTATTCATGTAGCACTGAGTTCCTTTCCTTCATAGCAGTTATATTTTGAAATACATTTAAACGTGATTACACTACATGGTAAGCTCTGTGCAATCAGAAGTCACGTCTGATTTCGCTCACCAGTCTCCTGTGTACAGTGCTTACCATACAATAGGACTTGAGTAAATGTTGAATGAGTGAATGAAATGAATCCTTAATAGCTAAAACTGATTACCTTGTGATAATGGCCGACGCCATCAAAGTAGTGATGCTTTTTCTTTGAAGAATTAAAATACATGTCATGTGATATGTGTAAAAAAGTCAATATTTGAACTCATCAGTTTCATGTGGCCACCTCTTGACGTTATGCTGATTGAATTTCTTAGAAATGGAGCACTGTATATTCATTACATTTAGCATTATTGCTTATTTTTAGTTTGACTAATCATGATTTGAATTACTATCAAACTGTGTGCAGAATTTCAAGTTTTTGGTTACTTCACTTTGCAGAAAATGCAAATATTTCATGAAATTCTTAGAGCTTTACGAAAGTATCTTAGAGCTTTACGAAAGTAAAAATATCAAGCACCTTCCCCCTTCATTCTACCGTCCACATAAATACTGTTTCCTTTGGCTTCTTTTAAAGGGAGAAGATGTCAACCGGACTCTAGAAGGCGGAAGGAAGCCTCTTCATTATGCGGCAGATTGTGGGCAGCTTGAAATCCTGGAGTTTCTGCTGCTGAAAGGAGCAGATATTAATGTATGTGAGGAACATTGTCATTCTAGAAAAAATTCCTGTTGTATGCTTTGGGTAATTATTTTATGTAGATGTATAAAGTAGTTCTTGTGGAAACCTCATTTTAAATAATACAGTCTGAAATATCATAATTTCTGTAACTTAGAAATGTATAGTTTGGATTTTAAACAATAAGCAAACAAAACAACTTTCAAGCTGAGGATCAGGATGTTTCCCCTTGGCTGCTGCTTTTCAAGTTCTAATGCAACTTGAGAGTTGCACTGCCTGTAGGCAGCAAATGCTATCTGCCAGTGGACCATAGGACCCTGCAGTCATGGTAAATATAGTGCACTTTTGACAGAGGTCAGTAAGCAAGTGGTCAGACAGAAGCAGCCATCTCCCGACTCTTTCCTTCTGTGCCTTCTGCATTTCAGAGTTTTAGAAAAATGTTTAAGTAACTGACAGCAAGTGAGATGAACTTCTCACATTTCAGGGGACACTAAGTCACTTGGCTGAGCTGTGGCAATCTTTTCATTGGCTGTGTTCTTCCCTTCACCTCAGTGGCATTTCTATATTAGTGGGGAGTGAGGCTCAGAGAGATTATACCTAGTCACACAGTAAGTGGCAGAGCCAAGGTTTGAGCTGGGGTCAAAGCCTCTGCTCCCTCTACTTCACTTTGCAGACTCCCAAAGAGAAACCTTGCTTGGGCCTCTAGAGCAGCGGTCGCCAACCTTTCAGACCTCTCAGATCACCAGTGGTTGGTTCGCAGACTACCGGTTGGCAACTACTGCTCTAGAGGGCAGCTCTCCAGAGGCTAGAAATGTGTACCTATACAGAGATTTTGGATAGAAAGGTAAATAGGTAAACATTGACTTTAAAATATTCACAAGTGTTTCCTAATTCCATCTAGAAAGAAGAAATGAAAAATGGATAAGGTGGTTTTATCTCTTTATTTAATATTTCACAGGCTCCAGATAAACATCATATTACTCCCCTTCTGTCTGCTGTCTATGAAGGTCACGTTTCCTGTGTGAAATTGCTTCTATCGAAGGTGAGGTCAATTACTACTTTTTTTTGCCTTTCCACTTCTGCGTGACTGTTTCAGCTAAGTATTTGGTTAATTTATTTGTTTGGCCTCAGGGACAGAAAACTAGTAATATCTAAAATTGAGGTCTAGAATATTATAGCCCAAAATAACTGGTCCACAAACTGTTACTAGTTGGTAATAGGTAAGAACCTTGGGCTACAATATAAAACAACACAGTCTCCATAATCAAGAATAGTTGTTGAATAGTTGCTGTGACCAGCTCTGCCAAGGTAGCTCTGTTAAATCATCATCCCGATGTGCCAAAGTTGGGCACATATAAGAATCAGTCAATGAATGCATGAATAAGTAGAACAGAAAATCGATGTTTCTCTCTAAAATCAAATAAATAGTTTGCTGGGGGCGGGGGGGGAATTATCTGAAATAAGCATTATAGTTAACGATACAGAAAATGTTGTGGACTAGTAACTGTTTACAGATCACACCTTGAGTGGCCCTGGTTTAAAATTTGTAAACTTCTTTTTCTGTAGTACGTACTGAGAATACATAAACTGTAATTTTGCTACTGTTATGAATTAGATGCTCTCCAAGTCATCTGGTTTCTTGATGTTACTTGGATCATGGTAAATCTGGAGTTTTCCAGTGTTCTGTCTTTGTTATTATAAATTCTTAGATGGAGTTCCAAATCCAGCCTCAGGAATTAATGCACCAGTTGCAACCATTTAGCTGTATTAGGACCTGCAAATATTGGGAGACAAATCTTAATAAAATAAGGCACCAGTATTAATCGCAAGCTGATTTTATGGCTATACTCTAGAAAATGTTATTTATAACATTTCATTTGGTATTTTAAAATAAAGCCCTGCTGAAAGAAATAGAAATCAAATGAGTAAAAGCGTTTTGTCACCATACCCGGTACATTCGTGTTTAATAAATAAGCTTTTATTATAACTAAGACTGAAGAGGATTTTATGCTTCAGTAAAATTGGGAAAGAAGGTAGCACATTTGTCTCGTAATACTTGAGAACTTTTAAAGGTTGTGCAAGTAGTTAATTCAGGTCCTTGAAAACTCAGGGTTTTTACCCATAGCTTCATGTTAAACACAGTTACTGGATTTGTTTAAATGTGTAGTGGTTGTTTTATGAGTTTCGGGGGAATTTTGGCAAATATCAACAGTAATTTTTAGCTACTACACACATACTAATTCTCTTAAAGCCAAATGGAAACATTTCTTGCCACTAATAGATTCAGAATCTGTGGTAGGATATGCTCACAAAGATTTCTAGTCACTGTCTTTCTCCTTACTGTCTATTGCTTCCCCCATATTCATGAAAAGATTCAAAAGTACCTTTGTAAACTACTAGATAATTTCATCCCTAGGGGATTATTTTTGCTTACCGTTGTCACAGGATACAAATATTGATGTACAGTTTATGAAAGATTTATATAATTTCCCATATTGTATTAGTTAGGACTCTTTGTATTGCAAGTTACTAACCCCAGCTCAGATAGGCTTAAGGAGATCTTGTTGATGCATATAATTCTACAGTTGAGGCACTGCCTGACCCTGTGCTTAAGCCATGGGACCAGGATCTGATTTCTTTTTTACCTGTAAGCTCGCTTCCTCAAAATGGGCTTTATTACCCTGGCCTCAACTTACCTGCTAAGTGTATAGTAAAAGAAACAGTTAACAAGACTGTTGTATATTTGAAAGTTTTAGTTGCTAAGAGGGTAAATCTTAAAAGTTGCCATCACACACAAAATTTGTAAAGATGAGACGTAATGGATGTGAAGTAACTAAACTTACTCTGATCATCATTTCACAATATGTACAAATATAAAATTAAACTAATATAGTTGTTACATGTCTTTTATCTCAGTTAAAAATAAATAAATTCATAAGTCAGAATAAAAACAAAAAGAAATTACCTCTTTCCATGATGTTTTTCTACCCAGTCAGGGGTGAAATTGTCTGAAAATAAAAACCTCCGTGGGATCAATTTTTAGCTTAGGTCCTTAGGCTCTGGTCATTTACTAAATGAGATGCCCCTAAACATGCTCAAACTATTTCTTTCTGATATTCTTCTCCTTTCTGTGGGACAAACAAAATAAGACATAATTATTCTTATGCTAGAGAGGACCCAAACCATTCATTGTTCTCTATCCCTTATTGCCAAAATATGTTCTAAGTCATTGTTAAAAGGAAAGCTTGATTGTGTGAAGGCAATATGTTATCCCAGAAGGATCACTATAAATATGTAATCTGTTGCTAAATTATTGGTAGTAAGTTGAGGTGTCTGACTTTTAACTAGCTTATATTTTTTTCTTTTACTTGGTGCCTGCAATTTTGTTCTTTAGCATGTGTTTGATCCTTGATTTTTGTAGCTAAGTCAGGGACATTCAAAGATGGCTCTATTGATAGATCAATTTTAACCTTGTAGAGCTGTTTTTTGTTTTATATGACATTTTTTAACCTTTATAAAAGCAGCCTAGTAAAATTTAGTTCTGCTTTTTCAAAATGTATTGCTTTCATTTTATTTTATTGATTTTTATAGAAAGGAAGGGAGAGGGATAGAGAGTTAGAAACATCAATGAGAGAGAAACATCGATCAGCTGCCTCCTGCACACCCCCTACTGGAGATGTGCCTGCAACCAAGGTACATGCCCTTGACCGGAATCGAACCTGGGACCCTTCAGTCCCTAGGCCGACGCTCTCTCCACTGAACCAAACCAGTCAGGGCTGCTTTCATTTTATTATTGCATAAGCTTCTTTAATGGATACCCTATAGTTTTGTTAACCAATATATTTTTTTAGAAATTCATTATACTCTAAAAAATCCATAGTTGCTAAAATGAAGCTGTTTCAGTGTCTTAACATTAAAATCAATGTTTATAAAATCTAGTTTATTCTTTTTATCAAAAATAGAATACTTATGTATTATAAATTCATTTAAAAAGTATTTAGTTTAAGAAGTTTACCACATTCACCGACATCCTTAGTATATTATTCAGGTGGTATGTGAGTAGCATAGGGGGGAAAAAAGCCAAAACAATAAACAGAAATTTAAGAACTCAGTATGATTACAACTAGTGGGGGGCGGGGAGAAAAATCACAAAAACAAAAAGAAGATTGCTAGAATATTTGAAATTAAACTATGTAATACTTACTGGGCTATTTTTAAAATTTAATGCAGTGGAAAATGGAATTTATGACACAAGAATGTAAAACATTTAATTCTTGATTATCCATATAGCGAAAGAAGAAACTAATATATGCAATATTTTTAAGCACTTCGTGTATATAATCTCCTTCAATTTTTATCAATCCAAATACATAGGTATATTCATCTCCATTTTATGGATAAGGAAACTATTTTTCTCAGGGAGGTTAATTACTGTCAGAAACAGTTATGAGAAATTGAACATGTGTAATTTGGGCTGATTTTTAATTGGTGAGCTAGTAATGTAGATAACAACATATGTGGGACTTCCACTTCAAGGTGTGAGCACATGCCAGTGTATCCTTTCCCTCCCAACCACAAAAAAGATGTTTTTAAAATGAATGAATCAATGTTGGTTTGAACCATAAGAAGGGGTTTTAGATAAGAAATTATAATGAATCCTTGAGAAACAGAAAGCAGGCGGGATAGGGTTATAGAAAGCATTTCCTAACACGAGCAAGAGGATATTTGTTACAAAAGGTAGAATCTGATCCAAGGCTGCTCCAAATCCAATAGTGGTTAGTGCCCCTGAGCAACAAACAAGTGAAGGAGCTAGTTCAGGGGTGTGCAAACTTTTTGTCTGGAGGGCCACAATGGGTTCTTAAACTGGACCGGAGGGCCGGAACAAAAGCATGGATGGAGTGTTTGTGTGAACTAATATAAATTCAAAGTAAACATCATTACATAAAAGGGTACGGTCTATTTTTTTTTTTTTTTTTATTTTTATTCATTTCAAACGGGCCATAGTTTGCCCACGGCTGAGCTAGTTGCACTTCAGGAAGAAACAAAATAAACCCAGAGGGAAAGGTGAGACACAAGAAGGGTCATAGGCAAATTAGTATGTGAATAAGTCTACACAAATATTAAAATGCAAAACACTAAAGTTTTTTTAAATAAGCTAAAACTACAGAATTGTTAAATAATGTATAAGATGGAAGCAGGATGATCAAAGTTCCTGGTACTTTCACCAAATCCGGAGTACGTGAAAAACATTAATAAAACTAGTGAGAAGAGAAAGGGGAAAGGAGACAGATGAAACAAAAATACAGGCTCGAGAAGCATCCTGGGAAATTTAGCAGTAGCAGAGGAGGAAGAAACCGGCAGGGAAGTGACAACCGAACAGCACAGCAGACAGTAAAAAGGCCAAGCAGCTTATAAGTAGAGTGTAAGCAATGTCATTTTGAATTATAATTATAAGCTCAATAAGCTTCCTTTTTTCCACCCTAGAAAATCTTAACTGGGAAGTTTTTGCAGTAAAAGGAAAACTTAAAAAGGCGGTATAAAATACTCTGTAGTTCAGAAGTTGCAGACTTTTTTTTAGAGCGTTAGGCTCAATCTTGCAACCATATGGTTTCTGTCATAAGTTTGCCACTGTAGCTCTAAAGCTGCCATAGACAATACAGAAATGAATGGGCTTGGCAGCATTCCAGTAAAACTTTACTTACAAAAACAAACATCTGGGCCATAGCTTGCTGACCCCTCTTCTAGCTCACAGTTACTTTGCATTTCACAACTTTAACCCTCAGTGGTAAAAATGTGTATCGTTCTGGATGCTTTTACTAGACTATGCTAGTGCATATTTGTTGAAAATTTTTATTATCAATTAATGTAGCCAGACAAGATATGGAATTTTCATTGTTAATTACTGAACTGGTCTTGGTTAAAACTCAGATACCTGAGTAATAGAAGGTTTGCATGATTACATTATTTCAAAGAAAGTTAATCATAAAATGCTACTCTTGAACTATGATATTAGCCAGTGGACTTTTATAAGTCCAAACTTCA